CCAGTTCGAACACAAGTAACAACTCTAGTATACATATCTTTAATGACTTGAATATGAGTCACATCAACGCCTTTCTTCTCTAGAACTCTCCAAAGGATATATTTTGAAACCTTATCATAAGCTTTCTTTTAAATCAATAAAATCATATGTAAGTTCTCCTTATTCTTTCTGAACTTCTCCATCAAACCTCTCAATAAATGTATAGCTTCCATGGTAGACCTGCCCGACATATATCTAAATTCATTATGAGAAATCTTTGTAATACGTCTTAACCTATGTTCAATCACCCTCTCCCATATATATATATATTAATTTTATTATTAAATCAATTAACTTTAATTTATTAAAGCTTACCTCGGTCGAAACCTTTTTCTCACACGCAAGCCATTCCCTTCTCCTCTGCGTGCGAATGAAAACGACCGTCTCTTTCCTTCACACGGCAGTAGCGACGGGAGGTTCACCTCCCTCCTCTCGTCAGAGCTTGACCTTCTTCCTACATCTTCTTCTCTTGAAGTAAGGCACAACATTTTTGTTGTATGCATAGCTCCGCTCCCATCCTGCTTGTCGTCTCGACGTCGACTCCTCTGCTTGTCATCGACGCCATCTTTTTCGATGCTCGACCTCGACGTCGATACTTCCTCAAGCCTCTTGGTTGCCAGCTAGGACATTTCCCGCGCCGTCGCTCTCTTTTTTGCATGTCACTCAACTCCCAGGTAAGTGAATCTCACCTTGGCTGCATCGTTTTATAAGCGAAATCGTCACTTAGGTTTTCAATCCCGTTGTTTCAACTTCCCAACTATTCGATTCATCTCCATTTTCTTCGGCTATCCGACCCTCTCGATTCGTCTCTCCTTGACTCATCGTCTCCATTTCCTTGGTTTTCTTGTTTCCTCTCTTTGGTTACAGAAATAGGACATTATAATATTCACCAAAGAATTTTATAGCCTTACATTCAGAATATTATAGGCATAATTTGAATGGTAGATCTCTACCATCTTGTTTGCGAGGGAGTGTTGGATCTCCCTCTCTTCCACAGTGGGTTCACTCACTCGCTAATCATAGCAAAATTCTTAAGTCATACAGATTAATGCCTTATTATGTTGGATCAATATCTCTATGGCCATTGGAGTGAATTCGTGTGATTCTTTATAGCCCTTTCTTAATTTTTCCTTTTTTTATTTATATTTTATAATGCCTTTTGGAGATGTGTGTGTGTGTGTATACACCTCTTCTCTTGTACAAAGAATGAACTATAAATATTCATTAGGAGGTTTTTCTTATCGTTTTATTTTCTACGGGAACTATTAATGTTGTACTTTACCATATATAAATGCATTTTCTATGGGAACCATTTTACTCTGACAATATTCTTATATTTTGGTTTGTTAAAATCCCCATGTTTTGTTTCTTTTGATGTCTAAAATGTCTTTCTTTATGTCCTTTCGTACGCCATGTTTTATTTCTTGTTTCTTCTAAAGTTTCAGGCCCAATAATGCAAATATTACACCTTTGATAGACACCATTCAAACTCCTCATTTTCTTTGGCATTAGACCAGGAGAAAATCTCAGGAGATAATTAAGAGTTTGAAATTGATGAAACTTTCTCACCATTTGCACTTGACTGTGTTGGTTTTTAAGCAAAATCAGTAATGGCAGCAATCTTACCTTTTCAATTGTCATCTATATTTTCTTAATGCAGTTGCTACTGTCAATCAGGAAGGACGAAAATCAGGCAGCTACATTAGGAGTTTTCTATAATTTGGAGCTTCCTCATTTAAATTATTTCCAACGTCCTTTTTATGATTTATTTCCCTTTTAGCTAAATATTTAGATTAAGAATATGTATTATTAGGTTACCTAAAATAGATTATGCCGAATGTTTTGTAAATAAAATAAATTGTAAGATTATTATTTAATGGAATGAAAGAAAAGGGAAAAGACATCGAGCCTATTCAGAAACCAACCTATTTTTCTCAAAACTTTGACATGGTATCAGAGCCAAAATTTTGCCATAACCACCGATAGTCGTTGGATGACCGTCAAGACTCCCTTCCCACCGGCCTTCTTGCGGGACCGGGAAGAACTATTTCCTTTCCTTCATCTTTGTTCGTCTGCTTCTGCTCTAGTCGCACCACTTTGCCGCCTCGACCCTCTCACAGCACAGGGAACTGATCGCAGGGTCTGGTTAGACTCTCACAACACGGAGACCGCGTGATACTACGGAGGAGAGAGCTCCCAAATTCGAGCGCAGTGAGCAAAGCAGCGAGGGAATCGTAGTGTATGAAGAGATTCGAAACTCCTGTTACTCTGTCGATTCGCACGACTCCAACGCCTCCTCTTTCCTTCAAACCATCTTCTGTGGAGCGATATAGTGGCGATTAGAGCATATAAGAAGGTAATGACGGGATCGTCGGCTTACAGTGATCTGATTTCTCCTCTATTCTGCCCTAGCCCTCGCAAGTACAACACCCTCATCTCTCTCCATAAATCAGCGAAGGGAACGCAGTGTGCACCGAGTCCCTCAGTCGTCCCTGCTTTGCGTGTGTGCGAGGCTCGACCGACACCCTTATCTCCCTCAGGAAACCAACGACGGGATCGTGATCTTGGCATCTTCAATTGCTTCTTCGCTGCTTCATCGCCTGTTTCGTCAACTGTGTTCGACGCCGTTTTAGACTGCTTTTTCCGCCTTCAACTACTTCCATTAAGTCTTCATCCGAATACTTCTTGAAAGATTCAACTCCTTCCTAGATCGTCTGGCTTCAGCTTTGGCACTCACGTCTTGAACACTCACGGCTTCAACACTCACGGCTTCGACATCTCAACTTCGATATCTAGGATTCAATACTTTTGGCGTGAAGATCAGGGAACAAATCGCCCTCGATCGTCCTCATCGTCGCAGGAAAAATCAGTAGCATTTAGATTGTGTAACTGGATCCTATTTGTGTGCTATGATCAATAGCATCTGGATCAACACTCAAATCCTACTTGTAGGCTATGATCGATAGCATCTGGATCGTGTAACTGGATCCTAATTGTAGGCTATGATCGGTAGCATCTGGATCAGGACGCGGATTCTAATTGTAGGCTATGATTAATAACATCTGGATCGTGTAACTGGATCCTATTTGTAGGCTATGATCGGTAGCATAAAACGGATCCTTCTTGTGGCTATGAATCAAATTTATGGACGACAATGATAAAGGATTTCTTGCTTTTCTTTGCTCAAATCATGTTATGGTTTCAAATCATGTTATGGTTTTCATATTAGGTTCAGGAGTTGTCACTGAGGCTTCGACATTCTCGGTTTTGGGACTTTCGGCTTCGATACTCACGGCTTGAAGATTGTTGGTCCTGATTGTTGGTCCCGACAGTGTTATCAGTTTCTTGTTGGCGAATTGATGCTTCTTGATCAATCAACATAAATTTGAGGAGAATGTCAATCACGAAGAACGGAAATCAAGCAGCTACATTATGAGTTTTCTATAATTAGGAGCTTCCTTATTTAAATTATTTCCAATATTTTTATTCTAATTTATTTCCCTTTTAGCTAAATATTTAGATTGAGAATATATATTATTAAGTTACCTAAAATAGATTATGCAGAATATTTTTTACCTAAAATAGATTGTAACATTATTATTTAATGGAATGAAAGCGATTTAATGGAATGAAAGCGAAGGGAAAAGGCATCGAGCTTATTCAGAATTGAGTCTATTTTTCTCAAAATTTAGACAGCTTCATCAAAAATGACATCTAAACTAAAGTCTTTTTCCAAACTACACCACCTTTAACTGTAGATTTCAAGTTATATTCAACATAATTGTATTTCTAACTTGTCTCGTACAACTTCATTCTTTTCTCCATAGGAACTTCTTCATAACAAAACAATCATAATAAAAGGCCTTCAATTACCCGACGGATAGTTTTCTTGCACTTCAAATATCAGCTGGTTTAAAATTTTCAAAGCATTTGTCAGACTCCTATACATCAAATGCACATGGCTGTATGAAACGCCTTAGCTTATTACTTTTAGAAATGCTTTTCACATAGACAATGTTTCTTGGAAAGAGGGCCCAATCTATGACGCACAATTTTTTTATTTTCATATTTTGGCTTTTAAATAAGAAATTCTTCCCAATCCACACAAAACCCTGTGGGGGCTGTTCTGCTTCCTGGAGATTTTCACTGTTCTGCTTACTGACATCTTTCACTGATATACTACTAGTAAATATTAGTTATTTGATTCCATTTAATTTTCTTGAATATTTTCATGTCATGCTACATGAACATTGAAGTTATCATACAATTTGCTTCAATGTTTGACAGAATATATTAACTCAAGTATTTTGCATTTGAGAAACAGAAAACTGGCCTCTATATGACAATGAAACATCGCCGTAAGAATTCATGATTTTTAGAACTTAATTTACCATATAGGTTCATTAATCCTGTTTCCTATGGTATGGCAATTGGGTTGCATTAGTTAAGGGTTTTGATATGACGGCTGCTTGATCAAACGTAGCTTTTGTTATCTAATTCATGCTTTTGCATCGTAGCTTTTGATGAAGAAACATATCTTGCCGATTTTATAAACTACAAATTTTTTTTTCTCATAATTTTCGTTTGGAGAGTAGCATAAAAAAATTAGATGGATTATTAGCTGTTTTTTATTTAGATGTTTGTATATTTTGAAATGATCAATCCCATTTTGGTGCCATTAGCCCTAGTTATGTGGAATCACTAGTGCCAGTTAGTGTGACTATTCATTAGGCGTTATGTAGTTGTGGTTGCGTGTGGTTTGCCTGCTTGTGAGTATGAACCTTGTTAATCTTTTGAGATTTATGTAGAATATAACTTTAGGGTTTCTTTTGATCCGACGATTTGTTTTTATTTGGATTAATATGCTCTTAGGTTTGAAGCTTAATATTTTATTTGATCAGTGTTTGAAGAAATACATCACACAGTTTACAGAAGAATAATTTTTATGGAATATGTATCAGGCTGCACAAATCTTTGGTAAACCAGATTTGGCCCCAGCAGCATGGGTGAGAAGACTTGTCACTTTGTATGACAGAGCTCCTGAAACGCCAGTTAAAGTAGTTCAGCAAATGGTTGAGGAGGAATTAGGAAAAAACTTTCATGAAGTATTTGAACGATTTGATATTCAACCAGTTGGATCTGCTTCAATTGCACAGGTTTGTCACTATTTTATCCAATTAACTTACATATATGCGCGCGTTTACATAGAACAGGCTGAATTACTCTTAACCTTTTTTTGTTCACTTCTTTATGTGATTACCTTTCCTAGATTTCCTTGTCTATGAACTTGCGGAGGAGTAATGACAATCATCGCAATGATGGAAAGTGTTGTTTCTTCTCTGTTTGTGTTTCTAAGCATGTTGGAGGTGTGAATATGCTAGGTGAGGATAGGGTTTAGGGCTTGAAAGCAGTCAACATTATGGCTACATCTACTTATTTGAAGGCTATGTCTTAGGTGGCTTGGAAATATACACAGAATTGGCAGAAAATGTATAATTAGACTGATAAATAAAATTAGAATTATAGGATATGGAGGAAAATACAGAAATCTAAGATAAAATACATAGAAATTGTTTATAAAGATTTGTGAAGAATATGTTCTACACCTATTGTAACAGCCATCATAATGCAAAATAAAGATTCATAAAATCAATCTCGAATAGTTGGGATAAAGCTAATGATGATGACAGTTTTCTTATGTTGCCGGATGGACAATGTTTGATCCATCCATAGGCTATGTTTACAAATTTTGTTTTAACTTTAAAACAATCTTTCACGGGAAAAAAAATATCAGAACTTGTTGATATGTATATGCGCTTTAGGAAAGTGTGGGTTCATTATTATATTTGAGGGGGAGAAATTATTCTCCCTTAATTATCTATTATTTTTTTCTTTTCTTTTTATCACAATGATTTGAATTTTCCCTCTATTGTGTGAGGGTTTGTCCAATCTGTATATATATTTGTTATTTGCTTAATGATAAAGTAGGAGCTTTTACTCTAAATTCTACATGTTATCAGAGCTAGGGAAGAATTAATAGATCTCTCCTCAGATGCCAGAATCCTCCCTATAGCATGCAGGCTCTCCCTGGTTTCTCTTTCAGTTTGCTATCTCGCCGTCATTCACACGCAATCTTTTTTTACCCCTCTCACAACTTACATATCCCATGAATTCTCTCACATCTTCTAGGAGGTGTGAACACCTTTAACCACATTATAAGTGATGCGAGATACGTTATTTCATGTGCGATGCGGGTATTCCCTCTTATTACTGTTTCACGGTATGTGGTTCTTTCTGAGGGAGTCCAGCTGACCACACATGTAGTACTTTTACTATTTTATTTTATTTACATTCTTTGGTCATAAACAAATTTTCTTCCTTTGCTGTTCTTTCTGATTCTTCTTATTTCTCTAGTTTCTAAATATGTTATTTTTCTTAGGGGAGCTTTATATATGTTGTATTCAGGATTTGGATATTCCGCTTGGTTCTATATATTTTGAGTTTTTCTATGATTTTCCCGCTCTTCGGAGTGCTACAGTCTCTTTCATTCGTAAGTGGGGTGTCTGTAGCTTGCTAAGGAACAAGTGGTGGATCCTTCTCGCTGACCGCACCTCACTGATTCAATGTTTGTTCTCTGTTTTGAGCTGGAGAGCTGATGATGACGTTCCTCTTGTTTGTCTATAGCAGAACCACCTTTTTTTCGCGCCTGGTTTGCTGTTCTGTCATAGATTATGCTAATTATCAGGTGTCATCCATCATCCTACTCACGACATCAATCCTACGTTCTGAACGCCTTTTCAGTGTTCTATCATACATAAAGGAACCCTAGAATGATGTTACTTGGTATCAGAGTTAGTCAAAGCCTTTGTTGGGAAAATGAGACGCTATGCTGCCAAGGAGAACCCTTAACGAGGTGGTAAAAATTTTCATGGTGGATATATAGCGGGAAATCATCCAATTGCAATTGAGGCTCGCTGATTTTGAAATAAGGCAGCATGGGGAAGACACCTACAACAACAATGGTGAGCAACCGGGTGATGGAGATGCAAAAAGTTTTCCACCAAGAAGTTTCAGTTGATGAAAAGCTGATACTAAGTCTATTTGATATTGAGTGAATGTGGTTTATTAGATTTTGGCGGTTGCATAGATCCAGATCAATTCATTTGAGAGGGTGGTTTTGGAGTAAAGTTGGATTTATTAGATTTTAACAGTTGCATGGATCCACATGAATTCATGAATTGGCTCCATATAGTGAAAATGTTTTTGAATAGTTGCATGGATCCACATGAATTCATGAATTGGCTCAATATAGTGAAAATGTTTTTGAATAGAAGGACATTCCAACTGATAGAAGGGTAAAGCAAGCCACCATTGTTAAAAAAGGGTGCATTTTGTTGGCGGAAAATTTAAAACTTAAGAGATTGGAGAGGAGTACCGACTACCTACAGTTGAAATTAAGATGCTTGTGGCTCAATAGGTTTTCCAAACTGAGCCTAAAAGGAATTAGTAGTAGCTCAGGCGTAACATCTTTGGTACCCGTTGTACTCTAAAGGGGAAGGTGGGCTATAGATGGTGATATTTGTGAAAATATTGTATCTACAAAGATGGTGGATGAATTGAGCCTCTCTGCACTGAAGCGTTTCCAACATTCTTTTGTACTTGGCTGAAGAAGGAAAATGCGATTTATGTTAACAAATGTTGTTACGTAGAAATTTCAATTTGTGACATGTTGTAGGTTCAAGTTTGGTGTGATGTCGTCCTTATGGATACATGTTATTTTTTGTTGGGCCGACTGTGGCAGTTTGACAGACATATACTTCTTGACAACCATAAAAATTTGTGCACATTTAACAAACATGGGATACATATTATACTTTTACAATTAAAAGGGTTCGCGGTGATGAACACTCAAATAAAATTGGAGCCATAACGCCTCGTGTTACCTTTCTACAAGCTATGCAAGAGGCACCATTGGGATTGTCCTTGGTAATGCTAGAAGGCAGTGAGATGAAGGAACTGATGCCTGAGGCAATGCAACCATTACTAGAGGAGTTTTATGATGACTTGACGGATAGTTTGCCATTTGGATTGTCAGCTTTGCAAGAGATTCGACATGTTATAGACGGATATTAGTGCTTGACCAAACTATCGGCTGTGATCAGTAGAGTATGAGGAGCTACAAAAATAAATTGAGGATCTGATGGCCTGATTGATAAATTTGCGAGAGCACCAATCCATGTTGTGTCAGTTTTGATGGTGCAAAAAAAAAGTTGGATTGTGACTTATGTGCAGGGATAGTTGGGTTGTGAATAAGATCAAAATCAAATACAGGTTTCCTATTGTAAGATCTGAATTTTTCTTTTTCTTCTTTTCGCCTTTCTCTTGAGCAGGTCACACAAATTTCTTTCCTTTCTCTTTGTCGCTTTCCATTTTGAGGACTCTACTCTTTCCTTTTTTACTTCTCCCACGTTTACTCTTGAGCTGCCTCTTTGCTCTATTAAAAGAGCCGAAGGTTAAGGTATTGACACCTCATATTTGAACTCCTTTACAGAGACCCCCGAAACTCCTATCCTTCTCCTCCTTCTCCGAACCCTCGTGATACGGTCACGATTTGGGCTATCCGTGAAAGGAACAAGGGGATCATAGCGTATAGAAACCACTAAAACTCCCATTCTTCTCCTCCCCTGAGCCCTCACGATACAGTCACGATTAGAGCTAGCCGTGAGGGTAACGAGGGGATTGTGGCATACAAAAACCACCAAAACTCCTGTCTTTCTCCTTCTAGCAACTTCGCAGCCCCGTCCTCCTTACCATCATAGTGGAGACCTAAGGTGAGCTCACTCCTTGATTTCTACTTCTATTCTTTCTTATTAATTCAATCTTATTAATTGTATGAACTTATGTCTTAAGCATTTTTGAATTTGAAATTTCAGGCTCAAATTTTTAATTACTCATCTTAATACATATTGAGGATAGCTTAAATCAATATTTTTGTTAAAGGCGATATTAAAGAATTTGATAATGAGTTTGGTTAAATTATAACATCACCTAAACTAGCAAGGTTTCAATTAATTTGTTAATAAGTAACTTTATACTCTCATTAATTCATTGGTGTAGGACTTTTATGAACCTTGCCAAATGTTGCTAATTGAACTTATGATAAATTTGAAACCCGCTATAGCAACGTTTTTAAATGCACCATTAATTATTATAACATCACCATAACTCCTATTTTTAAGTGATAAATGCACCATTAATTATTATGGGTCTTATCTTTGTTATTTGCATTAAATTCCTAGCTAATTATATGTTTGTCATTTGTATCCTTTTAATTTCATTCATATATTTGCAGTAGCTTTTATTTTTTTCTTATAATGACTTTCATATGCAATTAACCTTATTTTATTACTACATAGACTCATATTTAATTGCTCGTATTTCATGATTTCAACGTTTATTATTTATTTTATAATTTTGATATGTTAAATTTTATTGTTACAAGTTCATAATTGTGTATAAATACTGAAAGATATGTGGTTATATTCCTGTGCTTGATTGTGATGAATGTAATATAACTAATGTTATAGTATATCTCCATATTAAACCCTTTTATTATGACTAGCCTGACTGATGGGTCCTTAGGGAAATCAATGAATTTTCTTAAGATTACTGTCTACTTTTCCTTGTTCCAAGGTGTCGTAGAATACTTATAACACCTTTTTTTGAGAAGCAGGTATAATCTTGACAATTGTAAAACACATCCCAAATTTCACATCCCTCAGATATAAACCGAATCAATTTTATAAAATTTTGCATGTTGAATTGATTAATTTAATATATAACACAAGACATGAATTTATAACTTAAGAGAAGATATAAAATTATAAAGTTATAAGTTTATTTACTTTTAATTATCTTAATATTCCTCCCTAATCCCACATTTTTATTGTTCCTAGCCAATCTTCGCATTTACGCTTGCATGCAATGGTTTGGTGAGTCATATGGTTAGAAATTAATGGACTAAGTTAAATGTTGCACTCCCTTCATTTCCCCTCTCCCTATTTTTGGTTTTGCATGCTTGTAGGATCCCGCGACTCAATCCTTGTAGTAGAAGCGAAGCCGACAACCACAGAGTGCCGTAACTCTTGGCTTGAAG